CTTTTAGGTTTTCTGCTGTTTTGCTTTGCCTGTTTAATATTTGACTGTCCACCTGATGGCACATAGGTGTTCTCTTGAAGAGGAGAGATTTTGCTTTTTCTTCTTCTGATCAGTTAAAGCTTTGTCTTCCACACTAAAAATGGACAGTGTTGTATATGCTGGACCTTTTTATTTGCCTCATGAACACCTGTGGTCCACAAGTTGTGCTGAAACTGTCACATTTATATTTTTTGAGAGGAGTAACATCTGACAGAGTCACAAGACAAATTTGGAGAAAGGCTGCGCATGTTCTGGTTCTGTCCTTGTGCATGGTTGTGAAGATGGGAGAAATGTTTTATTGTGGGCCTGTTTGTAGTCATGTTCTGCAAGAAGTTCTTGGTTTTATTTTAGAATCAGAAATACAGTTGAAGAAAATGAAATCAGGGCATGAAGAACATGCTGTTATTGGAAGGAGTGGCAGCTTGTTTGGTGATTTTGCAAGGCTTTATAAAGATGATAGAAATGCTGGGGGCTGGTTAGGCCTGGTATTTGGGTGTTTTAAATACTTATTTATTTTTATAAGTGGACTCAAACAGATGCTTTGTAGTATGATAAATTATTTATCCAAAGGTTACTTTGGTTTTGGTCTGATGAAATCCCAGTAAGAAGACAAAAACTATTAGGGACTTGGCTTCTGCAGAATTTCTAGCAAGGCTTAATAAGACAGGAGTTTATGGGGGAAAGAAAAGTTATCTGAAATCCTGTTTACTCATAGTAGTTTGTTCAAACTCCATTGCAGAAATGAGAATTGCTTTAACATTCCCAGTCCCTGCTTTTATTAATGTTTGCTTGCAGAAATAAAATTAGTTTGATTTCAAAATAGTCAGTTTTCTTTCTTTTTAATATGACATTATTTTCTGTGTGAAATGACATGCTTTCATAAAAGTAAATGTTGGACTACTCTGAGCCATCCCATTTCCTGAAGAACAGGGAAACCTGGCAGGAATATGAGCTGCAGAAGGTGGAAGGAGAAGAGGATGCAGGTGTGCCCTCATCCCCACTCCCAGGTGAGAGATGGAGCACTGTGGGGTGGAAGGCCCCAGCGGAGCTTCAGGGCCATGCTAAAACCCCTCTTTTAGGAGGACAGCTGACTTGTACTCTGTCCCAAAGCAGGTGCCACCCAAAGATGCTCTCCAAGTAAGTCTTGCAGTATTTCAAAGAGGAAAAAGATTCTTCCCTAAGCTTTGGAGATGAAGCCTGTCCATTGAAGTGAGTGACAGGCTGGGCATGATCTTCTCTTCTAAGCTTTGGATTTGGGAGTTTCTGTTGCCAGCATGCTTTAAAGGGTAAGGAGCATTGCTGCACATTAATTAGTAATATTTGAGCTGACTTCAAGTGGTGCTTGGAAACATTAACTATCAGAGTTTGGATTCATGCCTTGAAGAAAGGTGAGTTCTATGTTAGTTTTCATTAATAAGTCTCATTTTCCTAAAATAATGCTTCAGCTCAGGAAGGATGAACAGCTTTGGGTAGGTGGAGCATCCTGGAGGCCGGTGCTGTAAACCAGGAATTTTCTGGGGACACATGACCAACTCTGGTGGAGGTGCTGGGTCTAGCATGGCCAGCAGGTTTGGAAAACCCTGGGGAGCACTAGGCAGAGGATCAAAGTGACCAGCTCTTGATGGATTTCTAAACACTGTACTCCAGCATCTGCCTCACAGTGGCCATCACCAGCTGTGATGGCAGCACACTTCATCTTTTTCCCCACATCTCCTCTTTCACCACAGTGGAAGCTCAGCCTTTTCCTGGCTTTCTGGACCCTCACATTAGCAGCTTTTTGGGGCTGCTGGGGCTTTGACTCTCAGCTCAGTGTTGAGGTGTGGATCTGATATAGCACTTTGGACCTGTCTGCAGCCTGAGGACCCCTCTCCAGATGCCCTGGGTACAATCACTCCCTGCCATTTGGAGTCTGAACACAGGACCCTGGCAATGTGCCCCACCTCCAGGTTTGGGCTGGGAAGTCTCTGGACCCATAACAGGCATATATGGGCATGTGTTGACAGGCAGAGGGCTGGAAAGCTTCTAGGATTTATCTTATTCTATTAGTAAACTAGTCAGTGTCCCTGTACCATTGCTGAAGCTGTCCAGAGAAAGAAATTGTGTCAGTGCCAAATGCTGTTGTCAGTCTGATCCTATGTTGTTGATGAACAGGCTTGAAAGTAACCAAATGGTTAATCTGCCCGTAGATAGATATGCTTTTAGCTATAATAAGACCCGCCTCTTTTATAAAATTAGAACATGAATGTGCACAGGGATTATATAATTGAGAAGTGAATACTGTATATGGGAACATGGTGGTTTAATATATATTGAAGGCTTTGATTGTTCTCCTTTCTGTCCTTTTGGTATTTTGTGGAAACACATGAAAAGTTTTCAAACCTTTGAAATTAGCTTGTAACCTATGTAGTTGATTATCATTTTCTGTCCGTGAGCCAGCAATGTTTCAGTATTCATAATTCAGTATTTCAAAAATTGTCAATGGCTTCAATATACAAATTTTAAATATTCTGAATGCACTTCTGGCATTCAGTGGTTGTATTTGTTCATTCAAATGTAATGGATATTCAATAACACCTATTATCAGCTTGATACAGAAAATATACCTGGGTAATTACATATGCCTACACTTGATATAAATTTAAATCTTTTTCTGCCAAGCAAAACAACACATTTTTTAAAGGTTTGGTTCAGAATTTTTGAATTAATGAAAGAGTTTTGTGGGCGAAAGAAGGATCCACCTCCCTGGTGCACAAAGCAGGGTGTCAGTTGTCTACTTCTAGCAAACTTTTCTGTGCTCTTTGAATAATCTGTATTTTACTGGCTTGCAGAGAGTGCAACCTCTGTGCATCAGAAGCATCCGAGTGTTTTTCTGAAGTGGACACAGAAATTGATGATGTTGATAGTAGCGTGTTCTTTACTGCTTTTAAATTTAAAGCTTTTTTAAATTTAACCTGCTTAAAAATTGGATACTATTTCCTACAGGCTGTCATATCTGTGTGGGACTTGGGCACTCTGAAGGACAGGTGCTCCCTGGTGTAAAAGCTGTGCAGTGCTGAGTGTTGTCTCTGCAGAGAGCTGGTTCTCTCACAGTGCTGACCAGGCAGGAGGATCAGGAGCTGCTGAAAGGAGGCTCTGTTTGGGTTTTGTGTTTTCTGCACCCCCAGTCTCTGAGCCAGGAACAAGCATAGTTCACTGAGCTGGTGAAGGATAAGAGGGAAGGGAGCAGTTTTACTGAGCTCACAGTATCTTTGAGATTGGCTGAAACTCCAGTGAACTTTATTTTGATAATGGCCAAGCAGTTCCTTTAAGTCAAGAATAGGAAACTGTGTTTGGTGTGAAAGGAAGAATTTTAATCAGACTTTATCATTCTATGAATTAATACCTGGAAAAAACAATTGCATTTTGGAAACTGACTGCATTCATAGGAACTGCTATGATATATCTTGTGCTGCCATAGCAACATAGGAGTGCAATGAGTTAGAAATCTCCCAGTTATTAGAAAACATGAATTAAGCCAAATATTGAACAAATGGTGTTTGCATAACATCCAGGGTTCTGTCTTCTCTCATGAGGTTTTGACCTTGTTTCAGGTAAAGGGGTATCCTTGATTCTCAAGAATCAGGCTTGACTGAGAGAAATGGTTTATTTTATGCTGAAGAGTATGAAAATAGCTGTGCTATGGTACTGTATGGAAAGTCAGATTTGTAAACATATATTTAGGCTGCTGACTGTGCTCCAAGCTGTCTTGACAAATATTTTTAAAGGTTGTGAATAATGGCAAGAAAAACTAAATTCTCAACCTTACGTTCTCTTTTTGTGAAACAAAGGTGCTTATGTATATTTATTTCTGCATAATGGAAGGCGAAACAAAAAAATTCTATGAAAAAGGACTTTTCTAAAAGATGAGAAAATAGCAAGAATATAATATTAGCAAAGACTCTACTGACTTATTTGGTTTCCACCTAATATTTGAGGAGAGTACTGAGGACAGTTTTGAAAATATTGTGAGGTCAAGAATTCTATATTGTTTTCTGTAAGAAATAACTCTCTACTAGGATAAAAAAAGAAAACACTTCCTATGGCGTGTTAATGGCAAGAAATTTATGGAAGATATTTATTTGGACAATTTCATTTGGAAAACACCTTTTCATTAGGGTAATGCCAGGAAGAATAATTCTGTGAGCTCTCAGGGCATGTGGAAAAACCTCATCTTTCTTGTGTTGTCAGTGACAACACAAGATCATGTGGAAGAAGGAAATGTGTTGTGATCTTGCTTTATTTTTAATCTCATTTTTGCTGATCTTTCTTATTTTAAACTTTATTAATGTATCTATTGTAGTTTGATCTTTTGTCAACGATTGCTAATATGTCTCCAGACCAATTTTTCTGCTGTGATTTTATAAATACGTAGTTGCAATATCCATAAAAAACATCTCTGGCTTTAATAAAGTTTTATTTGTTATTAACTTATTTGCCTGAAGTGCAGAGTTCAGAAAGTATACCTTTAGTGCTGCTTTTCGAAAGCTTTCAAAATACTTATGGTTAAGGGGATGAGGAATTTTTTTTCCTATTTTGCAGTGCTCCTAGTGGTTGTCAATAATGTTTTTTTTAAGGATCCAGGTAATAGTACAAGTGCTAATGCAGCTGTTTCTGAAAGTTCTACTAAAGCACTGATAAATCTATTGGTTTCCAGTAACACTGCAGTGCCATCAGACTGAAATATTGGTAATTGCAATTAAACTTAGATTATTTCCCGTATACTTTCTTCTTACAGTGCCTTTTGATGTACTCCCTTTTCTTCAATTCACTAGCTCTGAAGTAGTTTCGTCCTTTCTCCAATTGACTCTGGGGCATTTCAGTTGGCTGCATCACCTCTTTTTTCCAGTAAAGAACTTTTTCCAGTGCTGCTGCAGGGCTTGGGCCACCAGAGGCTGATTTTCCTCTCTGGAGCAACTTTGTGACCTCTCCACTGTGGCTCTATCGTGCCCTCATTGTACATGCTGTGTGAATTTGTCACATACACAGCGCATGCAATGTGGACATAATGGAGCTCAATGGCCACCTGAGGATAGAAAAAATACCTGCAAGAGATGTTGTGGGCCTGCTTATGTTTTGGATTTTTGTTGTTGTTGTTGTAATATTTTAAAGCTTCTTTGGTGTGCATGTGTGCTGTTCTTGTCCAAAAATTGTGTTGCAGGTACAGGAAAATAAGCCATTGGACCTCACAGGGTCATTGCAGTTTTCCAGATCCCCGCAAAAGAATTTTATTGCAGGACTTAAATAATACCAGGAATCTAATTTTGTCTCCTAATAGCAAGGTGATTCACTGTTTACATGTATTCTATTAGTGTTATTTTGTGGTGTTTAATTTTTTTGCACATTCTGTGCTTTGTACTGTCACTGACAGTTGGGGGAAAAATCTGTGTTTCTCACGTAACAAGAAAATGTACAAATCTTGTATCAACATTTAAGTTTGGGGTTTGTTGTTGTTGTTTCTTGTTTTGTTTTTATTTTTGTTTGGTCAGTTTATTTTATAAATCAAAAAAGCAAAGCAAACCCAAATATTCTGGTTTGTTTTAAATAAAAAAAACCCAAACCCTATCATTTGTATCCTAACATTTACAATGTTATTCCATGAGAAGTTTGTTTTTTTTTTTAGGCAGTTCTACTCACTTGTCTACAGTAGCAAACACAGAACCATGTTCCGTGTTTTCTCTGCCATGAATTAACACTTTTAAATGAAGGATTTTTTTTCACTAGGTGATTTTGACAAACTGGACATTTGTGTGAATAGCAGTTACCCCTGGTAAGAGATAAGTTACTAGGAACTAGATATTTAAAACTGAAAATTATTGCAAAGGCAAAACATTGCACCTGAGATGACTTGTGGAGGTTGCAGAAACGAAAGTCCATTCTCAACTGGATATGGCCTGAATAACTGTAGTGGGACAAAATCTGCTTTCAGGAGCTGAAGCCCTGCTCAAGAACAGGAACTGTGCTCTTTATACTGTGCTAAAATTTAAAAAGGAAGGGTGTGTGGTGGCATGGGACACATTTTCAGAGTCAGTGAGGATGTGCCAACAAACACCTCTCTTGGGGGAACTGCACTGTGGGAGTATCCTCTCATCATCCTCATCTCATTGCCTGTCCTGAGCCTACATGAATACAAATAAAGAGCTGACACGAGATGATGAAAATTAGTTTCTGGTGTTTAAAGAAAAAAGTGCACCCAGTGCAGAGAGTAGTATGAAAGCATTTCTTTGCTTCCAGGTGTTTTTCCGAGAGGAGCTGGGATGTAACCCCTCAAAGCTCAGTCCTGCAGGTGTTGGTTGTGACTGATGGGAGCTGATGGAGCTCCTCTGACCTAGTTCTGTATCCCATTGTACTGAAGGACTCTTAGAGGGCTGAGACTCTCCTCTGCCAGGGTAGTTTTGCTCTCTCTGGATTATTTTTTATTTCTCCCTATACATCACTATTTTCATTAATCCAATTGCTGGAAAAGGATTATAGCCTCAGAATAAAATCTGGTCATAATTTAAAATGTAAAAGCTGCTTATGTTTTTAGGCCAAAGTTATTAGAGGAAGGTATCAACCTACCAATATTAATACCCCAATCTCAGCTGGGAGGCTATTATCATGATGAAAGTGCCTGATAATGGCCCAGTTACTGAATATTTTATTCCATATAACTTCTGCTTGTGCTTTGCCTCTCATCTATGTGCACACCATAAGCTATACACACAGCAGCCTGCCTCTCACATGCTTTGTGGGTATCCTGTTTTTTCACATTTCAGGAAAACTCTCTTTTGGTAAGAGCTAATCTAGCAATACTGTAAAAGCAAGAAAAGTTTGTGACAGACTGTTCAGGGCACAAGGGCTGTGGGAATCCCCTCCATAAGAGGATTGAGGCATATTCCAGTCTTCAACATCTGCATCTTAAGCCACCTTTTCATAATGAATACTCCCTTATCAAATATTCTCTCTGCATTTATAGTTTCCATCAAACCCCTCTCTGGATAAAGAAAAATGGCAAACTGGAACAGCTCTCAGCCATCCTATTATTCATGCCACGTGCCCAGCTTTCAGGCATACAATTGTCTGGGTATTCAGTTTGCAAACCTGCTTTGTCCCTCTTTGAGCAGAGTACTTTTAAATTACCTCTTTATAATTAAATCAATTGAGGGGCTAGAGTTACCTATTATTATTTTTAATCCAGAGATTGGAACTTTCTTTGACCTTTGGTTTCTTCAAATGGGAAGTGTTTCATTTTGTCTCTGGTGTTTTGAATGAAATGGGTTTTCTGTGAAGGAAAGGATGCTGAAATACTTATTCCCTGATGGAAAATTTAGATGAAAAATTATGGACTTGCGTGACTCTCCAACGGCATTATTCAGAATCTGCTCCACCTAGACTGTGCTCAACTTTGCATCCTTCACCTGACAGTCCATGGTGTTTGGTCCTCGATGGCAAATGAGCTTTGCATCTGAAGCAGTGAATTAAATAATTTAGAGTATCAGTGCTAAACTGAAAAATTGATGGAAACAAATTACCTCCTAAATGTCCATTTACTACAGTGAGTTTTCAATGAAGAAAGCTCTTTCTGATGTTCCTTTCTGGTTTAGGTATGGGTTTTTTTTATGATTTTTCTTTTTTCTCTTTCCTTGATTTTCTTTCTCAGCTCCTTTTCATGGAGATATTTTGATCTTTCAGTAATGGTGTATTTCTGATCTTTGCTCTCCTCCAAGTGGCTCCATGTAGCTTGTGCATCACTTTTCTGGGGTGTCAGAAGCAATACTGACTTACTTCTCTGTCTGATTTAGGGAAGCTTTCTGTTCTCTATCCAGTGTTGCTGGTGTTCCAGGCAGGTGCTGAGGTGCTGACTCCTGTTTCCCTTGGCTCCTTTTTCTATTGCTCTGTGCTGGGTTTTGGCTGCTTCTGTTCAGCCTGGCAGTGATGGTTATATTCTGGGGCGCCTGATGGCAGCACCAGCTGCTAGTCCAAGTTATTTCAAAATGTTTATTTACATAAAATAAATTTAGTCTCTAGGTTGCACTGAGGAATTCTCTGTATCTCTAGTCTGTTCTAGCAAGAAAGATGCTGTGCCAGAAAAAGAGGTTTTCATAAGAGGCAGCATTAAGGGACTACATGTTTTTGCTGCTGTGCACAGCTGAGGAATTCCAAATTTAGTATTGTCTGCATGTGGTGGAAAAATACAAACTTGGGGAAAAAAAAGGCTAAAAAAGAGAAATGCAAAGATTCAGCAGAGTGTTCCTTCATGTGTTTCCACTGTAGAAGTATTAAACCTCAGTGAAATGCTGATTTTTCTTCTGCTAACACACTTGCATCTCTGCTGGGTGCAGTATGACATTTGTTTCTTGCTGTCAATAGCCTTGCTCTTGTTTTTGGGAGCAGGAGCCTTTCACATGTGCAGGGTTGGTGGAGGGGAATGAGTGATGGGGACTGAAGGTTGTAATACAGAGAGAACTTGAAACTTCGCCTGTTGCCCTAAATGACTAGTAAAGCACTGCAAACCTCTACCTTCCACATGTGCCTTTCCCTAAAACTGGATGTGGAGCAGGAATCTGAATAAAGCACCTTTATCTGCATAAACCACTTCTGCCAGGGAGTGAGAGGTGCTGCTCTGTGCCCTGGCTCCCAGGCAGCTGCTGGGGCAGGCAGAGCTCAGGTGCAGTAGCAGGATCTCTCTTTCTGCCAGTGCCTTGGCTGCTCTGCTGCTGCCGGTAAACCCTCTGCAGAGAAGGGAGCTGCTTAAACCTGTCCAGGTTTGCCATGCCCAGAGGTTTGTGAGTGTGCCCTGCTGTTGGGAATCCTTCATTCTGCACCCTTCTAATTGTTTTCTCTTGCTGGAGATCAGCTGATCGGAGTGCTGAGCAGAGGAAGGTGGGTGTGTGTAAGAAGAGTTTGATGTGTGTGTGGTGCTGATTCCTGCCCTGTTGGTGTTTGAGAAAAAGCAGTGGAATGATGTGGGGGTGTGCTGGGAGGAGAGGATGCATTTCACCTTTATAATGCTGGACCTCTTTTTTGATAAAGCCAAGCTCTGGAGTGGATATAGACTCACAGAAGCATTTAGGGTGGAAAACTGCCTTAATATCGAGTCCACTAAACCTTCTGGACCACCTCCTGAGCAATAACCCTTATCTCAGCATGCTCTGCTGCTGAGTCCTGTCTGCAGCAAAAGAAACATCTGCAGGTCCAGGCTGTGGCCCAGGACATGCCCAGGGAAATGGCCCTGGCTTTTATTCTACCTCCTTGTACTGCAGGCTGGAAGGGTTGAAGCTGCCTTTCAGCCTGAAGGGTGGAAAGAAATGAGCTATCTCTGGGCAGCTGCTGAGGCTGATCTTCTCTAGAAATGCTCATCTCCCCAGGAGTGTCTCTGGACAATGTGGTCTCTCCTCAAAGCAGCCCTCACTGGCCCCTTTCCTTTCGAAAAAGGAGATTTAGGTTTAGGAGAGACTGGGGCTGCTTGTGGAGGCTGAGGGACAGTGTCCAGGGAGAAGGTGGCTTCCAGGGCACATTCCTGCAGCTCTGCATTTATTCATTCTTGTTGATAAATTGTTTTCAGATAGTTTGTCGTTATTTTCTGTATTTTTCTTACAATCCGTTTTCTTTCCTTTTTTTTTCCCCTTTCTCCATCATTTCCTTCTCACTCTTATTGGATTATGTTTTGCATGAGAAATGTTGTGGTAGAACTACAGGACATTTTTGTTTTGAGCTTTTTCCTATCCATCGATTAGAAAAGCTGTAGGGCTTTTTAATTACTCTGACAATGAGAAACAAAGTTTCTTTTATATTTTTTTGTCATGCTTCCTTGAACAACTTTAAAACGGTAATATTCTAACTTTCACTGGGGGCTTTTTTGCATTATAACATGGATTTGAAGTTGCATAGGTATAACCCCAAAGGCTGTGCACAAATGAATTCACTGCTATTGAAAAGCATTCAAACTGACAAAAACTGACACTATGATTTACGTGTTGAAAAAGGACAGAACACAAATAATTTAAATATTTTTCTCATGTTTGAGTAAATTTGTGTTGTCTGATTGAG